TCATTTAATGAGTAAAATGACAACGCCGCCCCTATATCAACGCTCCTCGTTGATATAGGATATTAATTTGGATTTCCTCATTATAAACTCCAGAGAGTGAGTTATAGCTCAAGTTGTTAGAGCTCCCATCTCAGTTCCAAAAGATCTTGAAATCGATTCTCATCTCCCACCCTTGTGGTTCTTTAAACATTAAATAAAAAAAAAAAATTATAAGAACGCTCTCATAATCAAACAATTAATATAGAAAAACCATAGTTCAAAATAACGTAAATGAAAATTTATTTAATGACCCCCCTACAAATTCACTATTAGTAGGGAAACCAAGGCCAATGTGAGAGCAATGTAAGATGAAGAGCAATGGATGGAAGTGAAGGAGAAAGGCGACCATGACCCATGCCTTGAGACCAATGGAAGATGAAGGAGAGAGGTGATCGTGATCCATACACCGTACCCTGTGAATTTGTGAATTTGTGAATTTGAGACGTAAAAGTATGAGTTTAGATTAATGCTTCTTCGTACTTCCTTTGTTTTTTTAGTTAACATATTTTGACTTTTTGTACTGTTCGCAAATTATGATTTGACTAGTTCATGTGATTTATTGCTACAATAAAATATACTCCGTATTTCATAGTCATGTAAGATTTTTTTAATATCCACTTTTTATAATTTTTACAATGTTGATAAATAAATATATTAAACATTAAAATTATGTTTTAGCAAACGTGATAGATAATTGTGTCAACTAAAAAGAATTGAACTTTCTTTAAAAAAAAAAAAAAAAAAAAAAAGGAAAAAAACAAGTATTATTTAATCCCTTTTTTTTAAAAAAATAAATAATAATAATTAAAAAATAAAAATTGAAAACCAATCAATAATTCAATATGTAGGATAGAGCAACTGAACTACATTTTTTTTTGACGGGAACTGAAATACATTATGGCACAAGGTTTGTTTGCTTGTTTATCTTTTAATTATGTACTTTATTTGGAGCTCAAATCATCACTAATTATATTAAACACATGTTATTAAATTATAACATGAGTTTTATACATCACATCATGATGTCAAAACAAACGTATAAAGCTGACTAACGAATTGAAACAAGACGCAATTACCACATTTTATATGCAAATTAAACATAGCAAAGTAATTTATGAATCATAATTCTTTGTATTGTCAGTTAACAACCAATACAAAACTTACATGATGAAATTAAGCCAAATTTTAGTCAAGATTAATTAAGCCATTTCCAACAAAATAGAATTGATTATGCTTACATTATTTTTCAAACTTCCTACTATATCTCATATATTAAATACTCATTATATAATTCTTGGACCACCACCTGGATTATTTAATTGTTTTTTAAAATTGTGATGTTAATTTTTTAATATTATATCACTATTATATAAGATATGGACTAGCTTAGCTTAAGGCTATATATGTGGAGCAAAATGCACTCTTTAGTTGGGCATTCTTTTTATGGACTATAGCAAATTAACAGCATGGAGCATTGTCACACTCACACTATCTAGATAGTATGATGTGAGCTCTAAAGGGTCACCATATATAGAAGACATTCCATCTTGCTATGGCCTAGCTCCACCTCTTTGTGCACGTAGTCCCGATCCTATGAATATCAATTATTCGAATGTATAATGGTAACTCGAAAGATTAGAGGTTCATATCAACAAGGATTGTCCTAATTTTGTTCTCTGCAAAGTAATATATAGCCAAACGCAACACCTAGTTATCAGTTAAGAGTCTAGGATGATATTATTAGTTTATTATTATATATACAACATTACAATGTGTTACATGCGAACACAAGGATGTCATGTAGCGAGATTTGTGAATGTCTATTATTTATTCTAGTATATACAATTGCTAATTGGAAAAAGATTTTTATTTTTAGTTAGTCTAAAATTTCCAATCTTGTTATTAATCCATTTTTACACAAATTTACATACGTGACACTTGAAAAATTTTAATTTCAAGAAAAAGAATTCTTAATCGCAATATATAAGTTTAATGCATGTTTTTGAACAATAATATATTTTTTTACATTTAATTATAAAAGTGTAAATTTATTACTCTATATATTTTTAAACCACATTGCATCTGGATGGACAAGTTCCACATATGATTATTGTCAAAAACTTTATATTTTCAAGTGTGATATTCCAAATTGAAAAACATATAGGGATATAGGTGATAAGCCGGAAGTGCAATAACAATTTTTATTTTTTATTTTTTTTATTTATTTAGTTTTTATATCATTTACTTTTATTGTTACATTTGTACAAGTATTTGGTTTTTAAATCAACAACTAGTGATTATCTTATACAATACCTCGAGTTCTTATTTTTCATAACTCTATGTTTAGTGAGGATCATTTGACAAACTAACATGATAAATAATAATTTCTTGATATTTTTTTTTAAAAAAAAACCCTTAAAAGCATAGGATATTTAAAAATATAACTTATATTAATATAATTAATACAATGAATTCCCTCAAAAAAAAAAAAAATAATACAATGAATTGGAATAAGACAACTTATCTATAATACTCGTTTATTATTACTATATTGAGGAGTTGGAGGTAAAAGGTACAACTACATGTTTTATAACTTTTAAAGTAAAATATTTGAAAGAATTTATTATTATTTGTTTTGAAACATTAAACAATAATAATAATATTATGTTGTAAAAGTGGTTAATTTCTTACTTTTAATTTCAAAGATTAAGCATTCGATGCTTGACATACAATATTTTTTATAATTGAGAGATTGACATGAAATCAAAGGAGAGCGCTACATGAGGACGTGTCACTTAAATTTTCTATAACCGACTTTTAATATATTATTCTGGAGCATAGATTAGTTTGTAGGAAAACATGGAGTAGTATATTAATTACTCCGATCCGTAGATTATATATTATTATAATTGTACGTGCTATTGGAAAATCTAATTAATAATATAAAATCAAAATTATCAACAAATAACAATTTTTTTTTGAGGAACAAAAAGCATTTATTGATTTCAAAAATTATAATTATTCAAACAAAAAAAAATAAGTTTGAGTATAGAAAAAAATAAATTTTTTGTATTTAATATTTACTAGAAATTGGCTAACAAAATGTTATGTATTAATTTGCAATTAAAAATTCCTAAATTAAATATTTTAGAAAAGAAAAAAAATAATACGATTAATAATTTAAAATTTATATTAAATTTTTATATGTAGTTTTATCTTTTAAGAGTTACATATATCATCACCCTTAAAAAAAGGTTCATTGCGTAAGAATTTAGATTTATTATATACATATAATCCCACAATATAATATATATGGACAACAAAAATAATCATAAATCCATTACTAAGCAACATAGTGGAGAACCAAGCAATAATTACGATAGCCAAAATTCAAACAGGACCCACTCATCACCAATCCACTATCACTTGATCACTCCCCACAATCTACACTAGCACGAGCCTAATTAACTTACCACCTTCCCAGAAAAAAAAAATACAAATATATCTGTATATACTACATATAAAAAAAATTACCGACTTTACATTTTAAATTTTTGATTGAGTTAATCCTTTAATATTTACACTAAAATTGTAGATGTGTTCATATAACTTAAGCAAAGATGGAATATTTATAAGAGTCTTGTATTTTCACTTGTAGACTATTCCATTCAAAATAATAAGTATGTACTATGTATACTTTGTATAAGTATAATTTGAAAAAATATAAATTGAAAATCAAATTAAAAGGGATTTTGTCATGTTATGTAATCTGAATTGCTAGATGATCGTTTATTTGAACATAAGATGTGGATATATGGTAGCTCCATTTTCTAGTAGATACATGCAATTAGCTAGTTACTTTCTACTTTATTTGAACTTTTTTACTTTTTATATATGTAATATTTATGATTTTCAATACACACAATCTTCATTTACACAATTAAACTAATTAGAAATCATAATGCCTTTTTTTTCTAGAATTTATTTTTACATGAATTAATATATCTATCTCATAAAAATCTTCTCGATTTTTTTTTGAAATAAGTAAATATAAAGTGAATAGAATGAGTATTTTTTTTTTTTTGCAAGTAAGTTGTATTGTCCTATTGATTCAGAACCTCTAATAAAATAGCTCGGTCTAAATCAATAAAGTAGACATTTTGAAAGTGAGATATATGAGTAATTTGTTACAAGTTCAACTGAAAAACTAAAAGAAAACTAACATAAAAGGAGAGAAAAAAGGGCGAGTGAAACCTAAGCTATTGTTTGGATAAATTATCCATGTCTTTCTTATAGGCTATAATATAATATCAATGTTGTGCGTCGCTCAAATAGGAGTATTTCTTTACCTAATGTTTAGAAAAGAGTTAAGAGGGTTTAATGGATCAGACACGTACTCGCTAGTTTGATTGGGTGTGGTTTGGAATCTTTTTTATGACCTGTACGTCAAATTTTCGTTCATTATAGAGTATCAGACTTGCCATTATTAGTAAGATCAATTAGCCATTACAAATATAAAAATGCTTTAATTGACCATTAATTTTATTCCGTAATTAAATTTGATCCTTGATTTACTTCTCCAATTGATTGCTTTTTTGCCAAGCCTATTTTAAACCTAGCTAGTCCTTATATATTCAAAGTGAAACACATAAAAATGATTTCAGCTCATTCCTAGATTGTGACTTTGTGAGTGACTAAGCGCACATAATTTCACAACTTCATCTTGTTTTTGCTGAAATGAAATTATTTTTTATAGATTCTCTATTAAATTTTTTTAAAACTACTAATTATTACTGAACCGAACTTATCATTACAAAATTTAAATTATTTTTACTTAATATTATATTTAAGGTGAAGTGAACCAGATCTAATACAGAAAATTGTACTACCGAGTAGTACTAAAAAAAGGTTTGTATCCCTCCGACAGTCTAAACCCACGTGATCTAAAAGACTTAAACCTCTTTTTGCTTTTATAATTTTCTCTCCTCTTAACACAGCTGCTAACTTAAGTCTTCTATATAATCTAACTACTTTGCCTCTTATTTTCTTACTCATACCATTTTTTTTTTCTCTGTTATTTGTTTCCTTACCATGAAGCAAACTTCACCCAACTCTTTCTCTCTTCTAATCATACTCATAGTAATCATACTAACATTCACATCTTGTGACAACATCACCGCCGTCGAATTCATCCGATCATCATCATCATCATCATCGAACACATACTTCCCGAGTGGCATAACCTCCACCACTACTACCACTACAACCAACAAAAACCATGTAAACAATATCAAAAACAAAAGCTCGGCCGCCTCGAGGAGCCACCTCGAGGCGGAAGCTCCACCGCCTTCGGACATCCTTAAGGCGGCGATGAAGCCGGAAACGGTGGGGTGGATAAAACATGTTAGGAGAATAATCCATCAAAATCCTGAATTAGCCTTTGAAGAACATAATACAAGTGCTTTTATTAGAGCTGAATTAGATGAACTTAAGATTTCTTACAAGTTTCCTTTGGCTAAGACCGGTATTCGTGCTTGGCTTGGCACTGGTGGACCCCCCTTTGTGGCGCTTCGTGCTGATATGGATGCTTTACCAATACAGGTTAGTTGGTTAATTACTTTTATTTTCACCCTCCTTAATTAATTCTTAGTTCGCAACTAATTACTTGTTGATTTTATCGTAATGTTATCTGTAATCCTGACCAATTATATCGTGACATCGTGAATTATTTTAAAACAGGATAATGGTTAATGACGTCATAAATGTTTTAATGGGGTCCTCACTAGTTGTCACTTTCCTAAAAATAGAAAGTGACATGATAGATACTTAATATGGTCCTAACTTGTCGTTATCTTAATTTATATTTTTTTCAACGTACGAGGGTACGGTACTACAAATGTGTACTTCTATGTTTACCGGTATGGATTATAGGTGTATTTTATTATGTACATAAACCTCGTAGGGATTTACTATGGTAGTGTGTCACACATACATGCATAAAGTTATACTCATTTATTTTGTAAAATTTATTTTAGCATGAGAAATATTGCTTCTCTTTCACATGCAATTATTTCCTTAGAACTCATACCTTCTTTCCTCAGATCTATGTTTAAAAAATGTAATTTAGTTTCTTAATTAGATTAAGAAAAATTGTACTTCATTCCTTAGTTTCTAACGAGTTTTATTATATATGTAAACATCATTATAGAATTAAATCATTAGCTATTGATTTTGAGCCTATAATGGCCATAAACAAATTAAATGGCTAACCTTTGTCCATAAAATTTTGCCCCTTTTCTCCCAGATATTATGACACGAGCAAAATTGTAGCAGTGGCTCTGATTTACTATTCTTTGGGTCCCATGCAATTAAAAATTAAGTAAAAAGACAGAAAATTTACCAGAAAAAGTTGCATTAGGGTGACCCCATTAAACCTCAAAACCAAACAGGATTTAACTTCAATTTTGGAAATTCGATTTCTTATATGAATGGTCATAATGCAGGGTCTGTTCTTTTCAGCTTATTTTCCGTTTAGTTTAATTTAATTTAGTTTAGTTTTTAATTTCCTTCGCTCATAAAATATTCAGTTCTGTTCAGCTTAGTAAATGAGAATAGACCCTAAACTCAATCGATATTGTTAATTCCTATACAAATAATCAAAATATGTGACAACGTAAAATAATATGATGGTTATATTAAATCTTTCTAACCAAGTACAGGATAATAATTTAATTATCGTTTTAATCGAGGATTAATAATTAATGAAAATGAAAAGGGAGATGATACTATACTATGAGCATACCTCATTCTTGTTTTGGATTAAGGTCTTAATTAAAAGAACCTTACATACACTTCTAGTAACTAACAGAATCTAACTTTAAAACTTAGGGGTCCATGAAATATTAGTTTATATAAATATCAGTGATCTGTAATAGGTTTCATTAAATTCAAATCAAAGAATAATATAAAGTGGGACGACCATAGATGTTTAATGAAACAAGTTTTCTGTTTATAAATTATAAAATATTAGCGTTGTTGTTGACTTATTATCTAATGATTAAGTTGGGTGTACTAATAGCATCTTCAATGTTTGTGATCTACTTGACGGTAAAATTATCATTTTAAGTTGCTTTTTGCTTAGAAAATGTTAAAGTGTTACGAGTACTACACTAGTACACTTTGTAAAAGTAGAATTACAACTGGTTTAGTGAATTTGGTTATTTATTTATATATTTGAGTATATATATAGTTATGAATAAAAAACTTTCACCCCCTCCATTCTTAGAAAATCTTCCTATAGTATATATATTAATTGCATTATGCAATATTATCTTTGATCATAAAATAAATTGAACTTTGCATAAGAGAGATGAACAGTACAGTGAGTGTATATGAAATTTATATTAAACCGAATCAAACAAAATTCAAAACTATGTACTTTTTTTTTAATAATATTTATATTTTTTTGACGGGTTCAAAATCATGTACTTAGTATTTCTAGTTATAAGTTATAACATAGAAATTACTAATTATGATTGAATTGAAGTTTCAAACTTTAATTTCACCAAGATAAATAATGGCAGAGTATACAAACTAGATAGTGTCAAACTATTAAAAAAAAAAAAACTTAATTAGACTTATAGATTAAGGTCTTATTTTATTCACCTTATTTTCACTTATTTTAAAGAATATAAGCTCAAATGGAATTAATTAACTGATAAGAAATAAATATTCCAAATCAGAGTTCATATAAGGAAATTCTGATTTTACCAGGCCACCAAAAATTAAACCGATATTGGCTTTTACCAACTATTTTTTATTGTATTTTATTTTACCATCACAAAAACCAAATATTGTTTTCCATCACCTGCCTTTTTTTTTTTTTTTAAATTATTTTATTTTCGTGTTAAAAACATGATCTCTTGAGATTTTGAGGGTCATTATTTAGGCCCAATACAAGGTCAAATTTGACAAAAAGTTATAGAAAACTCCCTGTTTTGCGTGTTTTACGCAAATTGAGGTATTTTTAATTAAGCAAAATGAGGCACTTTCGATAATTTTTTTTTTGTCAATTTTAACCTCAAATCGGTTCCTTTAGAACCAAAATAACTCTCAAAACCTCTAGAGTTTGTGGCACGACAATTGAAAAATAAAATTAAACTGTTACATTTAACGGTTTTCCTGATAGCTGGTGGTGAAAACCAAATTTTAGATTTTTTTTTTGTGGTGGGAAAAAAAATGTAGGTGGTAAAAGACAATATCAAGTTGTTGGTGATAAAAATTAAAATTTCCTTTATATAATTACCAATTAAAGTTTAATTTTACAACTTAAATTAGATTATGTGTTAAGATAAGTAATAATCAAGAAGTTCTCGTCAAACGATTTTTTTTAAAAAAAAGGATCTTGCTAACAAACACCCCCGGGGCGTTGGATAAGTATTTAAAATATTGCTTAAAATGGTATTAATTTGGGAAATCATGACAAAATCACGCGACAATCGTTGTAATTAATGTTCATTTTAATTTAATCAATCTACTTTTAGTTAACTTATCCAACGCTCCTGGAACGTTCGTTAGCTTTTTCCAAAAAAAAAATCAAGAGAATCGAATGTTCATTAACTCAAAACTCGTACAGCTAGTATCAGTTTGTGATCATTTTATACATTATAAAAAACAAAAACTTATTTGTGTAATTAATTAAGAGAAAAATGATACATACTATCTTAAAAAATAATGCATATACACAAACTTAATTAAAGCGGCAAGGGCCTGTTCTGTTCACCTTATTTTCATTTATTTCAGATGTAATAAGTTCAGATAAGTGTAGTTAAGTTCTAATAACTTCAGATAAGTTCTGATAAGAGTTATCCAAATCCAAATTACAATAAAATACTTTCTCCGTTCTTTATTACTTGACCCGCTTTGACTTTTACACTATTCACCACCCCTCCTTTGACCGTCTTTTGTGAATAATATGTAAGGAAAAATATATTCATGTATGATTTTTTTGGATTCGTCTCAATAAGTACTATCATAATATATAACTTTTATAATTTTTACTTATGGAGAATTTAAGTTATTGATCGTTAAAGTTTTGCATTGGCAAGCGTGATAAAAGAAACAGGTCAAGTAAAAAAGAACAGAGGAAGTAAGTTTTAATTTAATAAGATCTAATGAGTTCATATAAGTTGAGATAAGTAAAAATCAGGTGAATAGAACGTACACGTATAATAACTCATATATTAATGACATTGATGGACTAATGACATTGATTGACACATGCTTTGTCATTCTCTACTAAGCAGTACAAACTAGGATACATATTTAATGTGCATCATCAAAGCTCGCTACAATCATAGTAAGTTAGATAAGATAGGCTAAAAAAAAAAAAAAGTTATGATAAGGGTTGTTGAAATTAAATTACAAGTAAAGTAAATTTTAATAAGATGTTATACTTATAAGTTTAGATAAGTTCATATCAGTGATAATATGGTGTATCAAACACAATATGAATTTACTAGCATAATAGTCCATTAGTCCTCTATGAGATGTTAGATTAATATTATGTTGGTGTGCAACAAGTAGACTCATAAACATATTTTGTGGTGCATAATGTCTTTTTGAAATGTAACTTTGACCATATTTTATTAATCAATATTACCAATTTAGCCGTCTTTGGGCTAAAATTGATGTATGTAACATAATATACATTTTTTTTAATATAAAATCAAAGATACTATTAATATTTCAAGTTGCATATTAAAGCTAGCTAAATGTTGCAATGAAACATAGAAGATAAATTTAGAATGTAGTATTTATATTTAGAAAATGTAGGGACAAATTTACAAACCTAAAAAGTAGAAAGTACTAAAAAGTAAAATTCTATAGGCAGTGGAAGAAGTCCCGAATAGGAAACCATTAGTTTATATTTAGATCACATGGGCATGACCATGATGTTTTGTCTCCTTTTATGAATCAAACAATTAAGCGATCGGACTTTGCTATCCAAAATATTGAGATGTTATAATTCTTTATTTAAAAAAAGGTATTGATCTTTACAACTCATTTTTGTCTATTTTGATTTTTGAATTTTGTGATTCGCAATCGTGATTGTAAATTTTAGAAAATGTGACAACAATTAAAGAAAAAAGTAGCTAGTGCATGTCATGAGCATATGCAGAGAGTATGTATATATGATGAATTGATGATTGTGTAAAATTAGGAATATGTAATAAGTTTATTATTCTGTTATCAAAATCCTTGGTTTTATACATCTAAAATTAGCTTTTATTTATTCAGGAGGTATAAGTGCATCATTTTTACCGTTATCAAAGACAAATTTAAAGTCATGTAAATTTAAATACAATTTTCAATAGGCCAGAATCGGATATAAAATTTAAAATTTAAAGACAAATGAGAATAAGTGAATTATTTGAAGATTGGATGTGTCATGTGTCATAATTTTGTGAGTGTGACCATTTTGGTAGGTTAAAGGATTCCTCAAAGCAATAGTTTGATGTGATAAAGTGATATTACTGATATATAATCAATGCTTTTAATAAAGTGTAACATTCAAATTGTTATTATTAATTTGATAATGTGGTCACAAACCTTGGAATAAGTCCTAACACTAATAATTTTGTTCTAGACATCTCACTACATTATATGACTGCAGGAAGCTGTAGAATGGGAGTACAAGAGCAAAAACGATGGCATAATGCACGCTTGTGGCCATGATGCTCATGTTGCCATGGTCCTTGGCGCGGCCAAAATACTTAAATCTCGTGAACATCTTCTCAAGGTAGTATGTACTCTAGTCGTTTCTGTGTTAATTTAGTTACATTGCATTCATTATTCTATAATGGCGGAAAAAAGTTGTCACATCATATTTTAGAAAGATTGCATTCATTCTGCAAGATTGTACGTGCCATGTCTTTGGTTATCAACTTATCATCGAATGTGACATAATGCCATAATGGTGGTCCGAAAGAGTAATACGTACATTTAAATTCATTATCGGACTCCTTACCAAGTATAGCCTAATACATACTTGTCCAGTCTATATCAATGTCACTTTGATTATTTGCTGTAATGCATGAAAATGGGTTGGGGCTAGAAATTCTTCTTTCATTCATTGCTCATTTTAAGTTCCAAATCTTTAAGCATGTGCAATGAATATACCAAGTATTTATTTGTTTGGCTTTTGAGCTCATTAAAAGCCATCAATAGAGAAATAATTGGGAAAACATAGATCTCTTTAGAGTGATTTGGTTGATGTTAACAAAAGTTTAACATTCAATGTTTAGGAGAATGATACATAACTAGTTGGTAGCCAATAACATCATCCTCTTTTTTTTCCTCTCCTTCTGTCTTAACTTCTAAATGTTCTTATTCTTTTACTCACACTAATGTGGTTCTCCTATATGCCATGTAAATATATGTTACGACATAAAATGTTACTTTCAAATCACAGTATATCCAACAAAAAAATATATCACAGTTTTAATTGGGGTGATAACGATCTGAGACAATTCCGTGTGTCACGAGTTCTAACCTATATGAAATCTTTCAAATTATGATATTCATAATACAAAGTGATGCAAACCTAGTGTTGAAGTGATGACGTTTTCCAACCAAAGAAAAAAATGACCATCAAAAGTGGTCCTATTGATCGATGTGATTCAACTTGCACCTTATAATAAAATCAACAACATTCCAAAAATTCCAACTAATATGAATGCAACACTCACAATCATATATGGACAACCTTGAATATAAATTGATTATGTTGGTTTCATACTAAAGGAAATCAATTATTATTTGCTATGTATTTCTGTTTTAATCTATATCATGGACATTGAATTTTGCTCTTATCTTGCTCCACATATACATGCATTACTACTTCATTCCTATTTGTGGTTCATTTCTGGTTTCTCACGGCTGTTGAAAATGACTACTTCTTGTGGATATGACACAACTTTCTAATTTTTATGTCGATACGTCTCTTATCTAATTCCCTTCAAATATAGTAAGTATAATATTATTGTCTTTTCAAACCAGTCACATGTTCTCGTCTGATTGTAATAATTATATTTGTAAAATGATGCATGTATTTCGAATTACAGAGTCAAAAAAAGAAAAGGGTATATTTATCAACACTAATCTAAACTTATGCGAACAATATCTCTTTGAGGATCAAACTAAAAATTCCATTTGCCTTTAATGCAATTGTTATGTTTTTCTTAGGCTAGGTGATGATGTACATTGGTCTAAAGTTGTTGGGGAAAATATGATAAACTTATCATAATGACTAGATTAAGGATTAAGAATCATATTCTATATGTTTTGGGGTTTCAAATGAATGGCATATTGACATGTATTATTCTCTAAGATATTATTTATGGTAAAATATATAAGCTTAATTGAGGTGCATGTATGTTTATTACACACACTTTTATCATTAATTAAAAGATAATTTGTATATGTTGTTTGGATTCATTGAAACAGACAATTTATATGTTACAAAAAATATGGTTTGTTATTGTCTTTCAGTGTCAGTGATGCTTAATTGATTGCTATTTGTACAAAAATGATTACGACTTATAAGAGAATCTTTCAATTAAATATATGGCCTCATGATAGTCATGAACAAATAGTGTCCAAAACTCAAGGTTAAGTATTGAAAAAAAAAATTGATCTTTTGTTTGAAGTTGTTTTTTGTCGCAGGAGATACAATTGCCGATTATGTAGATTGATGAAGTGCCTCAATTGGCTTTGATACTACTCCATTATATTTGTTCTAACTCAATTATATTACAATGCTTTTTACTTTGATGGAGCTTGATTTAAAATAATAGAATCGGTTCAATTTCCGCCACCAATTTTAAATTATTCTTTAAATTATAAAGTTCTAGCCTTGATTGGGAGATACTGATGTCAGTGATTTGAGTTGTTTACAATTCATCAAATACAAGACTTTGTTTACAACTCTCTTGGACTACTCTCTTAGTTTTAAACTTGTATTATTGAACCAATTTCAATTGATTTTGCTCATAATAATTTGATAGAATGCAAATAATTTTACATTTAGACGTTAATGATAATCAATTGCTAATTTTGATGTTACCTTAACATACAGGGAACGGTAATCCTCCTATTTCAGCCAGCAGAGGAGAAAGGGAACGGAGCGAAACAGATGATAGCAGAAGGTGCCATAGAAGATGTTGAAGCCATCTTTGGAGTTCATGTTTCCCATAATTATCCTTCAGGAACCATTTACTCGAGAAGTGGTCCATTGCTCGCTGGTTGTGGCTTTTTTAGGGCTGTGATCAGTGCTAACCGTAGTTCCGGTGGTGGCCATCAGGTTCACCGTTCTGACACTATCTTGGCTGCTTCAGCTGCAGTAATCAGCCTGCAAGGCATTGTTTCTCGGGAAGCAAATCCTTTGGATTCTCAGGTTGTCTCAGTAACTTGGGTTGATGGTGGAAACCAATTTAGTTTTGTGCCTGAAGACATTGTCATTGCTGGGACTTTCCGCGCATTCTCTGATATGCAGAAGCTCCTACGCAGAATAGAAGAGGTACATTTTTTTCACCTTCTGTCGCGATAGTAATGAACATTCTCTTGACAGTTTAATTGACATTACTCTGTATGTTACTTGTAGGTGATTAAGGAGCAAGTGAAAGTGTATAGATGCTCAGCGACATTGGACTTCTTCGAGAAAGAATATACAATCTACCCTCCAACAGTGAATGACAATCGTATGCACGAACATGTAAAGAAGGTGGCCATAGATTTACTTGGATCGGAGAACTTTGGAATTGCACCTCCAATAATGGGAGCAGAGGATTTCTCATTCTTCTCTAAAGAGATCCCTGCTGCATTTTACTACATTGGTATAAGGAACGAGGAAGTAGGATCAACACACACGGTACATTCACCTCGTTTCATCCTCGATGAAGATATGCTCCCTATAGGTGCTGCAACACATGCCTCCATTGCTGAAAGATACTTGAATGAAAATTAATGATGCAGATTAATCCCCAAAATATTATAGTAAATATTGAGATCTTAGAAGCTAGATTAAATCTCAATCTTTTTTTAACGTAACCCTTTTTTAGGTAATTATTGTTTTTGTCTCCAAAGTTTCTCTTCTTAGTTGGAGGTATTCTGGTACAAAGTTTACCTTTAGAAATGTAGGGTTATGTTTAGTAGCCATCATTTATAAGTTTATTTTTGTCATTGTATTTATTTTAAATGCATGAAATATATTATAACTACTGTATTATCATGTTTGATGTTTTAGGTAGCAAATTATGCAATAATAGTACTCCGTAGTCTTTACTAAGAAGTACTTATATACAAGTAACACAACTATAGTCGTAGGATATTAAGGGGTCGAGGGGGATCACTATTAAAACCAGGAGCCGGGTGCATGGAGTTAGCGCAATCAACTTGCCATCCTACAGTCACAAGCATAAATACTTCACTAGTTTGAGAATTGACAAAGTTTAGCTAACCCTTTTGTTAAGGGTGGTGCCCTGGTAGTAGTGTGAGTTATTAAACATTGCCAACAGAGTTCACAAAATTTAGCTAAAATGCCTACCAGAACCTTTAACTATTATTGCCATAAGACATCTACAAATAGTGGGAAGGGGCTGATGAAAGCCCCTGCAGTCCAATGTTAGTAATGTAATGTGTAGAGACTCTCCTTAACTTTTATCTAATTTCCCGAATATGCTTACTGAGGACCCTGTAAGCCTGATAAAAACTAGCTACATAAACTCATACAACAACAACGGAGAATAAATCTTGGGAACATACCCCTGCGTTGCCCCTATTAATTTAACTGCAATTTACACTGCCCGTCTCCAATTGTATGGTCCATGGTGAGCTACAAAGGGATTCATCTCTTCTCTCCGCATAAACATCTTGCAGCTTGTAAGGCAAAATATGTAAGAATGATGTCAGCACCAGCCCGACGGAGACACATAAGCGATTCTAGCATGACCTTCTCCTCATCAATCATCTTGAGAACCCCACCTGCCTTTATCATGGAGTACTCACCAGAAACCTAGCACCAGGAAGGAGAAAAAAAATTAATTAATTTGACCAGAAAAGGCAGGATACTACATCAAGCTCCAGCAGAGTAGTTCAATTGTCATTATATTAATTGAAGTGAAGAAAACTTGAAAATTTGATTCAAGAGCCCAAGAGTGCTTGGTTATTGCCAGGATTTAGATTTAAATAGGTTAAGCTAAGGCTTTGATTTCTTAACCTCAAAGTCTCAAACATGTAAGTTTAAAGATTTGCTTCAGATAAGTTTCAACATAAGCTCATATGGGCTACCTAAGCTCAGTTCAAAAGTAAATAAGTTCAGGTAAGTTCCAACTAGTTCAAAAAAGATTATTTTAGGTGATGCCTATTCCCTCTTTCTAGATAACAAAGGCCAGTGTCACCTGCATTCTGGTGCAGTAATTGTTCCAAACCTTCCTCAAAAAAAACAAAAAAAAAAAAAAAAAAAAAAAAAGTTTCCAAATCCTGTAGCGCAGGTTAAAAAAGGACAGAGGAAGTCCTAAGTACCTGATATGCTGCAATAGGCAGAGCAGAATTATCCCGAAGAAGCCTGATAATATCCAAGTACGGAAGTCCAGGCTTTACCTATAAGCCAAAACCAAGAAATCATTGATTTCACTGAGCAAATGAGCAAGCACCAGAAATCATTGATATCTAGCCTACTAAGAAACTAACCAATAGGATATCAGCTCCTTCTGACTCATCTTCTTGAGTTTCAATTAAAGCCTCTCTATAATTTGCTGGGTTCATTTGATATCTTTTAATTCCATCCGACAAGATCAGAAGAGAAACAATCAGGCATGACTTTTAAAATGTAAACTCAAGTTTATCAAAAGAGAAAATCCAAAAGCATACATACGTTTTCTTGTCCCCAAAGCGTGGATTAGAGTCAAGAGCTTCTCGGAATGGACCATAGAATGAACTTGCATACCTAAGTAAAAAGAATAGTTATCAAAAAAAATGTCAGAGCTTGGAAGCCAACCGAAACCAATTATGAGTAAATAATTTGTTTTTACAGACGACAATGTTAAGAAAGAAAATCTGCTTATAAACATACATTCAACTTTCTGCAAGTGATAAGAAAAGGCATACTTCTATGTTCTATCAGGTAAGTAAATTACTTTCCTTCAACAAAAAAAAAAGGCAAGTAAATTACTTTGCTGTATAGGACATGATCGAAACATGAGAAAATCCTTCTCCATCAAGTGCTGCACGAATTGCACCTACACGACCATCCATCATATCACTAGGACTGACAACATCTGCTCCTGCACGGGCCTATACAATAGGATTATCCCACAATGTTAAAAAGAAGAGATATAGAGTTTTTTTTTTTAAAAAAAAAAAAAATTTATAAAAAAGAACTCTCCTAGTAGAAGCCATGGCAGAAAATAATGAAAAATGTCAAAAGATTATAACAAACCCAATTTAAGCTTTACGGAATATTAATAATAATTATTAAAACCTAACACATTTAATACCTGCTTATCCATGTAATTCTCAGTGATCATTCACTTATCACAAGCTGACAATAAGAACAAACCTAGAGTTTTATTGACTCATTAGTAAAATGGGAAGGCAGACACTAAATGGAACTCCTCAAACAGTCAAACCTAGGTATAGTGGAGAAATTTTCAGCAACTCAATTATTGAAAGAAAGTTGTAGCATGTCCTAAAGATCATATTAGGAAAAAATTTTAACAGCTTAGACTTAAATTCATGAGAACTAATATACTAAAACTTTCAACAGACGTAAGTTAAAATCAGCATTACCTGGGCAACAGCTTGTTTGCATAATTGGTGCACTGTCTCATCATTCATAATTACACCTGCAAAGCATTAGATATGATACAATTACTTTATCAAACAATAGACTGCCACACAAATTTTAATAATTTAGCAAATACAACCATCCAGAATTATCATCCTTAGCCTCACATACCATCTTCTCTAACAATACCATCATGTCCATCTGAAGAATATGGATCTAAGGCAACATCCGTGTAAATTATCTGCCAAAATTATATTGTTGTCAGAGAAAAATAATGGAGGCACCTCAATGTATAACTGATATATAGTATCTGTACTACACTTACAAGATCAGGAAATTTGTCCTTCAGCATTCGTATGGTCCGGGGCACTAAACCGTTATCATTGTATGCCTCGTCGCCTGTGGGTGACTATAAATATATATGGTACTTCGTCATTGCTTGCAGCAGATGATTGACATAAGCAGAAGGGAAGTCACAGAGATGTAAAACAAGTGAATTACCTTCAAAGCATCTGGGACTTTTGGAAAGAGCACAATGCTGTTAACACCGACATCACGGGCTTTTGCTACCTGTGGACAATGCAAGCATATTGTGAAAGACTGTTGTAAGGCACTGACGCTATGAACTGACAAGTCTATAGATCTAGTTTGACTACGGAACTGGTAGGTATTTCACAGGATTCCAACAAGCCCAAACATTCAAAGCCCTTGTGACGATGAAGTATAAACAAATTAGATCAAAAATCTATATCTAAATTATATTAATATTTCTAGAGAATATAAACTGCAAGTTTGGAATATCTATAGGAGAATATCCATACTATACATAAGGGAATTATTATGAAAAGCTTTCAATGTTGATCCCCTTAATCACCAGAAAATGTCAACGGATAGCTTGGAATGTCTTCAAGATTCATTTTCTTCTAACTTAGATAGTTCTCATCCTTGATTAAAATTGGCTTTTCCCAAATTTTATAGGCGCCTATATAAGCCATATAGCATTAAAAAAGCAACTTATGCATCAATATAACTCAACAATTTATAAGAAAATCACAGTCAACAAAGCATTTTGAAACCTATGTTCTTTCTTAAGACCACTTTTTTTGGGGTGAATTGGTTGTGTAGAGGGAGTTTTTGAACCAGCATATATAAAAAGAGTAGAGAATAAGTCATTCCTGTGTTTGGGGGATTCAATAAGGTCAACAAGACTTGGTCGAGTACATTGGGTATAGATTCATTGTAAGGAAGGGGGAGAATTAATGTTCGTATAAGATAAACTAGCCCTCCTTTTGAGAAGCTACAGAAACAAAGTGGATGAAGTCCCTCCTGCCCTATTGGAAAGGTAAGGGTCTCTGAAACCACCAACCACCACAATCATTAGAATACCGAATTATAGCGATCCGTTTCTATGTTTGCACACCACCACCTCTGGCTTAAATTTCAAGAAAAACACCAATTGTCTGGCTTCATATCCCACAGCTACAGAAATAACTAAATGTGAAAGCTGTTATGGATAATATCGAGTGAGTTTCAAATGTAGATAGGTTCATCCCTAGCAGCTGCTAACATAACGAGAAACTCATTCAAAAAAATTTATCCCACAAATGAGCAGCAGCTCATATTGACTCACACATCATCAAGTTTACATGAAACTCTATTAAAAAGTAGTTGGTCATCAACACCTCAATAGTCTCACTAAATTATCATGATCTTAGTTCCTGGATGGAAAGTTTTGCAGATCAATCCATTGACCTTACATAGTCAATATCGAGGCAACGAATTGCATATCATTGACCATTCCGCAATGATGCCCAAGAAATAATCAAGCTCCTGCCAATTTGTCTAAAACATAGCCATTGAATGCATCATTATGGTGTAAAACAGTTGAATTACATTGTTATGATGTATAATACTTGAAGTGTATCATATTTAGGTCTAGATTTACATTTGAACTCATATATTTTCAGCAGAAGAATGACGTATGTTAGTTGAGACAAGGGTTAACAACGTAGACATGATAAAAGTCATAAAACAGCAGTTACAATGCATATGTCCAGCAGAAGTGTGCTACAGATATCAAATAGAATGCAGTTTTCAAAGATAATCTACCTTAATCAAGTCAACAAAATAAACATCTTCAGGAAATTAAGATTAGCTACCTCTTCTATAAGGCCATGTCTCCATCCAAGTCTATAACATCCAGGCATTGCTCCAATAGGCGTATCCTCTTCTCCTGAAAGTCCAAATAATATACCCATTTGAGAATCCAAGTTAAAAGAGGATTTATGTTAGATAAGTAAGAATTATTTAGCCACATGTACTAACCCTCATGAATAAACAATGGGTAAACCAGATTGGCAGGGGATAATTGTGTCTCTTGAAATGCTGCTCTAAA